TGCTGCTGCTGTTCCTCAAAACCTGGACCTATGCAAAAATGCACAAAAGTGTAGCATCAGCACAACCGACCCCATGTGCTGGTAAGTGTCTAGCCTAACCCCGGCGAAGTAGTGACGAGGCTAGACTGGACACCACATAAACCTGCGCAGTTATAGATATACAGCGGAAATCGAATACAAAGCAATTACCAACATGGGAGGGGAAACATGCTATGGGGAGTTACAATAATAACAATAATCCAGAGTAACAACTAAAGCAACTTAGGTTCACAGTGAACAAGGAATCAATAATCAAATGTAAACACATTGCCTCAATAATTGTTGCGGCGTGCAACCCGCTCCATAATTACCCTTGTTGCGACGTGCAACCCGCTCCACAATATCATTGTTGCGGCGTGCAACCCGCTCCACAATATCATTGTTGCGGCGTGCAACCCGACCCATTTCATTTATCATGTATCATTGTTGCGGCGCGCAACCCGATCCTCACATATTATTGTTGCAGCGTGCAACCCGATCCTCAATATCATTGTTGCGGCGTGCAACCCGATCCTCAATATCATGGTACAGTCCGACTCCCCAAACAACAGTCACAATCAAGGGGCATAAAATAAGCAAATATTTGACAACTATCCCGGCAAGGGAAAGAATCCAACAAGTTCAACCAAACGTCCCGACAAGGGAATAATCAACAACGCTTTCTCTTTCTTACTTTCCTTATCTTATAATTCACTTTACTATTTTGAGCCAACGCTCCAAAGAATCAAGTCATTTCGTATACTTTCAATATTCGTATCACAATTCGAGCCAATGCTCCAGGAATCAATTGATCCTATTACCATTCACATGTTATTCACAACATATAGAAATCCTCCAATAAACACGGAGTTCACAACCAAATCATGATAATCACATTATAAGGACTCACGGTCATGCTAGACACCAATGTATAGATACTCGTCACCATGCCTATACATCGTACTCGATCACATAGCAATTAGCAACAAGACTCAACTCTTATTCCCTCAAGCTAGGGTTAAACCAAACACTTACCTCAAAGCCTTGAAATCCACTTAATCCTCAACTATCGCTTTACCTCGTGATTCCACCTCCAATACAGTGATATCTAGGCATAATTAATTCAACAATATCAATAAAGACTCAATGGCAACTTCTCATAGCCTAGATATAAATTTTTCTAGCATTATTCCAAAAATACCAAAATTAGACACCGGGCCCACATGGTCCAAACTCTAGGCTCGGACCAAAACCCGATCACCCATAACCCCACGAGTGCAAATATATAATTTGTTTTAAGATTCGACCCCAAATTGAGGTTGAATCACCCAAAATTCTCAAAACCCTACTCTGCCCAAAACCCTTAATTTCTACTTTGTTTTCATGATTTAGGGCTAGGATTTCAGTAATTAGATGAAGAAATAATGAGGGAAGGATGTTAAGATTACTTACCCAAAGAGTTATGGAGGAAGGAGAGCTTGAATTTCGTCTATGGAGGGTTTAAGAGGAGAGCTCGTGTGAAAAGAATGAAGAAATCCCGTCACTGGTTCTGTTTTTAGGCTTTAAAATAATTGGGCGCTTTTGGTCTATGCGATCGCGGGGCAATTGATGCGATCGCATAGAGGAGTGGAAGCTTGGCTTCCGCGATCGCATAACAATTCATGCGTTCGCGTAGAAGAAGGGAAGCCAGGACTTTTGGGTGAAGTGTAAAGCTGTGCGATCGCGTAGAGGTGAGTGCGATCGCATTGAAGAGACTGGTCAGACTATGCGATCGCGTGACAACTTATGCGATCGCGTTGAAGAAATTTGGAAATGCCTGGAGAAGACTCTATGCGATCGCAGGAATGGAATCGCGATCGCAGAGAACAAATTCTCTGAACACCAGAAGCAGAACTTCTACAACAACTCTAAGGCCAAAAACACCCCGAACCACCTCCAATTCACTCCCGAGCCCTCGGGGCTCCTAACCAATCACACACACTAACTCAGTAACGTCCTACGAACTTACTCGAGCGATCAAATCGCCAAAATAACATCAAAATCATTGAATCAAGCCTCAAAATCATCATTTTCATTTCAAACTTTATAAACTTCTAACTTTAGATATTTAGGTCCGAAACACGTCAAACGACGTCCGATTTCGACCAAACTTCACAGAAAGCGCTTAAACAATATATAAGACTTGTGCCGGGCGTCGGAACCAAAATACGAGCCAGATACCACAGTCTTTTAATAAATTGTCATTTCCATTTCCTTATTAATTTCAGAAAAACAATTTCACAGAAAAATTCATTTCTCGGGCTCTAGACCTCGGAATTCGACTCCGGGCACATGCCCGAGTCCCATATTTTTATACGGACCTTCCGGGACCGTCCAATCTCGAGTCGGGTCCGTTTACCAAAAATATTGACCGAAGTCAACCTTAAACATATTAATATCAAAATTCTTCAAATTTTTCACAAAATACACATATTTCAACATAAAAAGCTTTCCGGCTACGCGCCCGGACTGCGCACGCAAATCGAGGCAAGTAAAAATAAGGTTTTCAAGGCCTCGGAAGCACAGAATGAATGAGGAAACAGGTGATGACCCTTTGGGTCGTCACATCGATGACAATCACAACTTAAAAGTGTACAGCCATAGACTTACAAGCAGTAACTTATTTTCTGCATAATTATGCTTCTAACATCAACTACGATATACACTGAGATACATAATTATACAGTAAATATTTTGATACCTGCTTTCACTTGATTTATGCACCTTAAACTGGAAGTTTTCCTTTACTGCCAAGTGCTTCATGACTTTGACTATCATAGCCTTGTCTTTATAAATTTGACCTTCTTCTACATCTATGTGTTGAGGGTCAGTTATTATTGTATTTTCATCAGATTTTGTATCTTGCCAGTTTTCTCTATCCCCAAATTCAATCATATTAACTGGATCGCCATTGTATCTTCTCCTGTATAACTGAGCTTTGTGCACACTCTGAGGAAATCACAACAGAATTAGAATTGTAGTAGATCATATCCATATCTTTTCACTCGATGTTATACAAAGGGGATTCATTGTAAATTCCGAGCTTTTTTTCAGCTCAAGATATACACGTACGCCTATATTATTGTGTATCACTCTTGGTGGAGAACCGTTTTGGACAATGTAATTGATTTCAATAACATTCAATGAAGTATCTATCATAAGTTGTTTCGAAATCACGTCTACAAAATCTTCAAAACTTATATTTGGAGTAATTATTACAGCATCGGCATTGTAATCCACAAAACTGTTGTCAACATTCCATCGGCCACCATACTGAAACAAATTGGTAAATTTCCACTTGAAGTAGTTGAAATTAGGTCAAAACTCACTAATTCCTTGATTGATTTTGATTGTAGTTCGTAGTTCCTTCATTAAAGCTGTATCTACAGAGAAATCGCGAAAGGAAATTGTTGCTTCTACAGTGAAATTGATCAATTTTTTAATGAAATTTGGAGCTCCTTTTGAGAATTTTTTGGGAGAGAATGTCGTGATTTACAATAGGTCTCTGTGAAATTGATCGCTTGAAAAATAGGGAAGGAAGGAAGATCCTTAGCGAGATTCTCGGATGGAAGAATCTTTCCTAGCATGTATCTCTAATTTTCGGCTACTTTTGATAAGTGTCTAAATCTGGGCTAGAGGTTGGTAGTTTGAGTTTAAATTGGCTATTTCTATACTTTTCCGTAAAAAAAGATTCTTATATGTTGAAAAAAAAAGGAAGAAAAATCTTACATCCTGTAACTTTTAAGATGTACGTATATGATAAAAATATCATCTAAATATTGTAATTTTTAATATTTTATGTCATTTATACAAGATAAGTATCTGAAGCTAGCGGAAAGTGTAGACGAGGAGGAGAAGCGGACGAATAGGGAGCATTATAAGTTGGCTAAGAAAGAGGCAAAGCTAGCAGTTAGGGCGGCCAAGACTGCAACTTTTAGTCGTTTGTATGAGGAACTCGAGGGCCGAGGTGGGGATAAGAGGTTGTTTAGGTTAGCCAAGGCACGAGAGAGAAAGGCGCGTGACTTGGACCAAGTGAAGTTCATCAAGGACAAAGAAGGTAGAGTTTTGTTGGATGAGGGGCTTATCCGTCGGAGATGGCAGACCTATTTCCATAGTCTCTTGAACGAGGAGGGGGACATGAGCATTGTACTGGGTGATATGGAACTCTCGGGGAGTCGTTGTGACTTTGGATATTGTAGGCGGATTAAAGTTGATGAAGTTGAGGGGGCTATGCGTAAGATGAGCATGGGCAAAGCGACCGGGCCGGATAAAATCGTGGTGGAGTTTTGGAAGAGTGCAGGAAAGGCAGGTTTGGAGTGGCTCACTAGGTTATTTAATGTCATTTTTAGAACGAAAAAAATGCCCGAAGAGTGGAGGTGGAGCACGATGGTTCCTATATACAAGAACAAGGGTGATATCCAAAATTGCAATAAGTATCAGGGTATAAAGCTGCTTAGCTATACTATGAAAGACTGGGAGAGAGTGGTAGAGCAAAGGGTGAAGAGGAGTGTGTCTATTTCTGAGAACCAGTTTGGGTTTATGCTGGGGCGTTCCACTACAGAAGCCATCCTCCTTGTTAGTATTTATGGGGCAGTATAGGGAGAGAAAGAAGGACTTGTATATGGTGTTCATCGACTTAGAAAAGGCGTACGACAAAGTACCAAGAGAGGTTTTGTGGAGATGTTTGGAGGCTAGAGGTGTACTTGTTGCCTACGTTAGGTTGATTAAGGACATGCATGATGGAGTAAAGACCCGAGTGAGGACGGTAGGTGGAGACTCAAATCATTTTCCAGTTATGATGGGGTTGCATCATGGGTTGGCACTCTGCCCTTTTTTGTTTGCTCTGGTGATGGACGTACTGATGCGCCACATCCAAGGGGAGGTGCCGTGGTGCATATTATTTGCAGATGATATTGTATTTATTGACGAGACACGAGACGGTGTGAACGCGCAATTAGAGGTATAGAGGCAGACCTTGGAATCTAAAGGTTTCAAGTTGAGCAGGACCAAGACAGAATACTTGGAGTGTAAGTTCAATGGCGAGACTCAAGGAGGGGAAGGGGAGGTGAGGCTGGACTCGCACGTCATCCCCAGGAGAGGAAGTTTTAAGTACCTTGGGTCTATTATTCGAGGGGATGGGGAGATTGATAAAGATGTCACACATCGTATTGGGGCGGGATGGAAGAAATTGAGACTCGCTTCCAGTGTTTTATGTGACAAGAAGATGCCACCAAAACTTAAGGGTAAGTTCTATAGAATGGTGGTCAGACCAACGATGTTGTATGTGGCTGAGTGTTGGTAAGTCAATATCGCTCATTTCCAGAAGATGAAGGTAGCGGAGATGAGGATGTTGAGATGGATGTGCGGTCACACCAGGTTAGATAGGATCAGAAATGAGGTTATTCGCAACAAGGTCGGTGTGGCCCCTATTGAGGACAAGATGCGGGAAACACGACTTAGGTGGTTTGGTCATGTGAGAAGGAGGAGCACAGACACCCCGGTTGTCACACCTCTTTTTTTACATACCACCCCCGGAAGAGGGTATAATAAAGGGAGTTATTTCCAACTTGAAGTGACAATCGAAACGGGATTATTTAATTAAAAAGATTTAGAGTCGCCACTTGGGAGATTTATGGTGTCCCAAGTCACCGGTTGAATCCCGAATCGAGGAAAGGTTTGACTCTGTTTAACAGTCCGCGAACCAGAAATCCGAGTAAGGAATTCTGTTAACCCGGGAGAAGGGGTTAGGCATTCCCGGGTTCCGTGGTTCTAGCACGGTCGCTCAACTGTCATAATTGGCCTATTATCTGATTTTAGTACATGTTTTAACCTATGGTTCAATTTTAACTTTAACCGCCTTATTTAATTATTTTTAAGGAAAAATTGCAACGTTATTTAAAATACGTCTTCAGCCACGTCACATAAATGCACCCGCGACTCTCGACATATTTTATCTAACATTGTTGAGATTTGGATTTGGGTCACATAAATGCGCACCCGAGTTTAGGAAGGTAGATTATTAAAGTAACGCGCCTAAAGCAACTACGCGTGTGCAACTTTGCGAGGGCCGTGAAAATTCGCTAAATGGCACGCCTCAATTTCTAAATGGCTAATTAATTAAGTGAGGGCCATGAGTTATGAAATTTTTTTGTAAAGGGAAGGTACGACTTAGTTGTTAAAACTAAAAGACATAAGGTAATAAAAAAACCTTTCAAGATTTTCTTTCCCCACACATTACTTTACAAATCGCAACTAAACAGAAATGGAAATTGATTTATCTAAATCATCATCACATACCCAAAATGCCTTAAACAGATTATTTACCAAAAACTTAAACTATATTTTTTACATGTAACTTTAACGAGAGAATGACATGAACACATGAGTAAGAGAAATCTTCTAATTAAGCAAGAAATCAATCAATTAAAACGAAAGCTCGACAAACAGTACATGAACTTCACAAGACAAAAGCAGGTATTAATAAGCACGGTAATGGAATAAAATGAAAGTGAAACATGAACCTTTTTTTTTTCTTCAAGCTTTATGAATATGCCAAATAGGAAACTCCAGTCGGCTTACAAAGAAAAGTGAGAAGATATGCCGATAAGATTGAACGCAAAATCTGACTGCGCCGGAAACCTCGTCATGAACTCGAAAAGGACCTCTCGGACTCCGCTTTAAACTCCGGCTGAAAATATTGGATCTTCACTGTTGGTTTTGGACTGTAACCCATCAAGCTTCAGAAGCGATTTTCATGGCCATTTTGGGTGGTGTTTCGATGGTCTAAGGGAGGAGCTAAGGTGATGTTACTGGTGTTTCACGGTGGTTTCAAGCCATGGCTGCTTGTTTACCAGACTCCGACGGAGGTGGGGCTGTGGTCGTTTGGACAGAACAACGTCGTCGGCAGCGTGGTTGAAGAAGGGAGGAGGTCGTTGGTGCGTGTGTGCGTTTTCAGGCGAGTTTGGTGGTGAACGTTGGTTCTGTTACTGGCGGAGATGAGTCCGACGCGAGCAGCCGGTGGAGCAAGGTGGACTAGCGGCTGCTATGGAGATGGAGCTAGGTTCTGGATGTGTTCATGAAGAAGAAGGTCATTAGGATTTTGTGTAGTCTCTTTTTGTTGTTTTTCGGCTGATCGACCTCGTGTATTTTAGCTCATTGTAGGCGTTCCTATATGTAGAGTCTAGGTTTAGGTTATTATTTTGTGTATTTTGTCAATTAGTCCTTAGGTCTTTTTGTGTTAAGGTCCTTAGGGTCTTTTTTATTTGTTTTTGTTCCAAAGAAGAGTCTAGAAGGGTCCCTAGGCTTAATAGACTAATCCGAATTGGGCCAAGAATTGGGCTCTAAAACTCTTAAAATTGTGGTCTAACACCTTAATTGACTCCTTTTAAAATAAGATAGAAATACTACACAATGCCAAAGCTAATCCTAATTAATTAAACTAAACATGAAACTATTTTTGTGTTTTCGAAATTATATAAAGATAAAAATAAGGTACTATTTTTGTATCTTTTAAATTTATGAAAAATACATAAACTAAAATATTTTTTTGTAATTTTTATTTTTCTTGTAGTAAAATAAAGTAAAAGAGTCAAAATGAGTTGAAATAGTTATATTAGACCTAAATTAAATATTTACGTGCTAAAATATGAAAAATCTTAGGGAGGGTCAAAAATCACATGTCTACACCTGTGAGGAGGTGTGAGAGGTTGACATTGGAGGGCCTACGGAGAGGTAGAGGTAGGCCAAAGAAGAGGTGGGGAGAGGTGATTAGGCAAGACATGGCGCAGCTTCAGCTGACTGAGGACATGACCCTTGATAGGAAGGTATGGAGGTCGAGAATTAGGATAGTAGAGTAGGTAGTCTAGAGTGTTCATAATAGTAGTATTGGCATGCAGTTCTTCTTTCTTAGGGTAGTAGGTTTATGACTAACCGTTGTTTCTTTCATTGTTGATCACATTATTGTCTTGTTGTTTTTATTCTGCTTTTATATGGCTTTTTGGTACTATCCCTTCTTGTTTATATTTTCATTAATGTGATGCTTATGTTTTCATGAGCCGAGGATCTATTGAAAACAACCCCTCTATTCTCACAGGGTGGGGGTAAGGTCTGCGTACACACTACCCTCCCGAGACCCCACGGTATGGGATAATACTTTGTATGTTGTTGTTGTTGTATATAAGAGAAGTATCATTAATAAAAAGAGAAAATGCATAAAGGCCCCATAACTTGTACTGGAAAATCATTTACACACCTAAACTTTACGGGTGTCCTAACACCCCACTATTGTTGAAACAATTGTATTTATTTACTCCCTCTTAAGCCCTGGCCAGCCGCGTGTCTTAGGCAACACAATTGAGCGTGTCTTTGCTCTCTTTTAATCGTTAAAAACACCCAAAAAAAGAAAAAAAATTAAATTTTTAACTTCAATAGAAACCCCAAACCAACGGTAAATCCATTGTGCCCTAATATTTTACCAAACCCAACTGAAGAACCCTAATTTCTTCTTCATCTAAATTCTGCCGAAATTGCATCAAATTGCTCTTTGAAGTTTTGATCTTTGAAAGCAAATGTTAATCTTTCTCCTCCAAACGTAATAATGTCTCACAGATAATTCAATTTTAATGTTTGAGCTTGATTCTTCAAAGAACTTGGGCTTGCGGGTCTTCCTCCAACTCGTCAGGAACTTTAAATAACAGTGAAATCGAAGGATTTGCAACTGGCCACTTCGATTTTGTTCAGGCAAATCGATTTAGGTGAGGCAAGAAGAATTTTCAATAGTTGGGCATTAGGGTTCTTCAATTTGGGAATTTTTAACTGATGGGGTGAATAAGGCTCGTTTAAAGACTGTTATTTTTATTTACTAGACATTTTAATTATGTGGCTTACTAATAAAGCGCGTGTTTCCCACTCGAGTTATAGCCCGTTTGGCCAAGCTGCAAAAATCAGCTTATTTTGAGAAGTACTTTTTTTTAAAAGTGCTTTTCTCAAAAGTACTATTGGTGAGAAGCAGTTTGTGTTTGACTAATTAGTTTGAAAAGCACTTCTGAGCAGCAATTAGTGTTTGACCAAGCTTTAAAAAACTGCTTCTAAGTGTATTTTTCTCAAAAGTGCTTATCAAAAAAGTGCTTTTGGAGAGAAGCTACTTTTTTCTGCTTCTCCAAAACTGCTTCTGCTTCTCCTCAAAAGCACTTTTTTTCCTTCCAAAAGCTTGGCCAAACAGCTCAATTTTTGGCCAAAAGTGCTTTTGGCCAAAAAAGCACTTTTGGCCAAAAAGAAGCTTGGCCAAACAGGCTATTAATATAGTTGGGCCAGAGCCTAGGAGAGAGTAAATAAATATAATTATTTTAATAATTGTGGGCTGTCAGGATACCCGTAAAATTTAGGAGTGTAAATAATTTTCTAGGACAAGTTAAATGGGATGTTTATGCATTTTCTCTAATAAAAACAAAAATGTTAAAATAAATAATTCACTAATACATACAGAAAAGTTTTTAAAAAGAAAGGTAATTGACATATAACAGAATCCTACGAGAAAATTTCTGTAATGGCGAGAACCAGAACTGCCCCGTACCCCATAACCTAAAACTCCAGATATCCTTCACCCTGCTATACACAAAATTCCATTACAGAAAACAATTTCATCAGAAGTAACAAAGAAGAAGCAATTATGCATAAAACAGCACAATCATGGTTTACAGGAGGGCCAAGTAACGATCTGGAAAAGACACAATCGTCCCTTTTAGCTGATTGGAATGCTTACGCTGCTGCCCAAAATGAGGAAGGTTCTTCATCTTCCGATCTAGGGTTCGATCTTGAAGCCGCCGTTAGAGATAAAGTCTCCGGCACTTTTAACGTGTAAGTGGAAATTCAAATATTTGATTAATTTGAATTTCAAACCCCAGTGCAGTTTTTAATTTTTAAAAAAATTGTTAAGAGTGTGATATTTGGTTGAAGAATGCAATCGTGAGATTTCCAATTGGATTAGTTTTTTGTCAGTTTTTTACTCCCTTGTTCAAAAAGGATGGCGGGTTTAGGGTATCAGAGTCAACGAATCTAAAATTTTGATCTAAATTTGAATGTAGATTCTTAATTTTTTGAATAGGAGGCCAGCTTAATTTTCAGGTTTTGAACCTGTGATGGCGTTTATAAAGCCGAGCTCTCTTACCCTAATTACGTCCAGTAAATGTAAATGTATCTTTTTTTCCGTTATGCAATCCCATTTTGCTGTGGGAGGTGGTAAAAATGATACTGGTTAGCTACCTTTAGAGCTGCTAACCAGAATATAGCCAGTATTTGCAAAGTAATTGAGAAATAGTCACAGCTTAAAAAGGTGATATAGACCCACTTTTCGTCTTCTCCGTTTATTTCAAACTTTAGGACACTGTTCAAAACTTTTACATGTGAAACTGCACTGGAGTTTCAGGACTCCCTGAATGTGAAACTATGCCGCGGAGTTGGAGCTTTTAAAAGTGAAATCCGAGCACACTGTGCTGGAGTACTGCGATTTTCTTGAAGCTCTAGATGACGGCATAATTGATACCCCATGAAGAATTTTCTTCTGGCGTCTAACAACAAGTTTGCTCTTATTTTTGCTTTGTCCTAGTTGATAACTTTTTTTTCCTTTTTAGCTTGCGTAACCCACTACATTCTTCCATCGAGAATGATTATGAAGATTGTGTAATGGTGTGTGAGTCTCTGCTATGTGTGCTATGTCTCCAGGGCGATCTAACAGAAAACTAGGTTCCATGTTCTTTCCAATCAGTGGCCTAAGTTGCTCGGACACGGGTGCGGATCTAGAGGTTGGATCCTTCTAGATGTAAATTCTAAGATTTGGGGATACAGATCCTAATACGAATACGGGTGCGGGGATCTGACTAAAGATAATTCAAAGAAAAAACTCTAAATTATGAGAAATTTTGTGGAATACTTACGTATAGCTTGTGAAGTGCGGATTTTTTTTTCTTAAGTTGTAGATAAGTAAAGGCTTGATCTCCTAGATAAGGTACGCTATTTTCTTTAAATTTATCCTAGTTTTGGTTTGGATTTCGGGAATCAAATTGTACCTCGTCTCGAATTTTTTCGTCCGTCGTGGTCAAATACCCAAAATTGTTTGACCAGATCCGGTACGGATCACATACCCACACCCATACTAGTGTCGTGTCGACATGAGTGCGGTACCTAAACTGTCGTGTCGGAGCAACTTAGTCCGTGGCATCTACTACACCAACTTCATTGTTTTCTTTTGCACTTGACCAGTATGATTTATGATTTCCGCGGATGTATTCTCACTATCGTACCTTTTCTCTTTGGTTCTGCTAGTACTGGAGTTTCACTTCTAAAAGTTCTTAATCCATGACACTTTGTAGGAGTTCCACTTGTTAAAGCTAGAACATCAAGAAAATTGTTGGAATTTAAACTGTGGCTATTTTTCAATTACTTTACCGCATTTTTAAGTTGTGGCTATTTTAATTATTTTGTAAATGTTGGATATATTTCAACCAGCGGCCCTAAGGTGTCAAAATATCCGTGGGAGGTGTACGGGCATGTCATTTGAGACTCAATACCTTTGGATAGAGTCTACAGAGCAAGTCTCCCATCCCTTTCACGGATTATGTTTTTACAATTTTTTTGCAAAACTTAAAGAAAAAAATAGAAGTAAGCTTGTGACACATTAAAAACAAATCCATTTATAGCCAATCATCTATCTATAATTTACTCCCTCTGCTCCAAAAAGAATGACACACTGTTCTAAAAAGTATGAAATTTCTCCTAAATTTGAAAATAATTTAACTTGAACTTCCCATTTTACCCCTAATGACAAGCTTTTGTAGTCACAAAAATGTTGTGGCATGATTAACAACACAAACTTCAAAAGTTTTATAGCCACACAAATTATGACATATTTAATATTACAAGTTTCACAAGTCTTTTGTAGTTTTGTTCTTTCTTAAAACTCCGTGCCTAGTCAAACTTTGCCGCTATTAATTGAAATGGAGGGAATATGAATCACATGCTTGGATAAAGGAGGATTATTTAAGTTGATGATCAGGGTAAACTAGTATTTTTTTTATGAGGTAGGGTAAACTAGTCAAATTATGATGAATCAGATATTGAAGGGACAAAATTGAGTGAAATGGTATATTTTTGTTTCTTTTTTGGTGCAAAGAAGCTCTAGTAGAAGATGCAGATTCAGTAGTTGACATCTTAGGGTCTTTGTAACTAGCACAGGACCTCTGGTTTCTCTTAGCACAGTCTTTGTGCTAAGGACCACTTTAATTGTTAATAAAATACCTGTTACCTTGTTCCAAAAAATACCTTGTTCCAAAAAAAAAAAAACAAAAAAATAGAGTGAAATGGATACAGATGATTCATATAGGCGGCTTCAACTAGTCTGGGATTGAGGCATAACAATATAGGTGATTGATGATATTATTATAATGCGTAATGATGTTTGCTTGCTGTATCGCTTGTGTGATTCCCCTTTCAGTTAATCTTGTATCGGTTTTTGAAATTTATGACATGGGTGTGTCTTTCATTGATCTTGCTCAAACTTGGAGCTGTCAATATCCTGGGAAATCTCTTCTATGGACTTCCATGGACTTGGTAGTTTGATGATTTGGGCAAAGCATGGTGGAAGCAATCTGATGTATTCTTGCATCAGGTAGCACGTATGTGGTAATTTGGGCAATAGTCTTTAGTTATTACAATTGAAGGAGTGATGAAAATGGTCGGTCTTGGGTGTTTTAATATAATTGCAATATTAAAGTAGGTGCCCTCCTGGTGTCTTTGGTTGTATTGCTCACTTGCTGATGATATTTGTTAACTTTTTCCGTTTTCTGCATAGGGTTTCTAAAGGAGTAAGAGATTTACCTGGAAGCTTCAGTTCCGCGACCAGCAATGTTCCCTCTGGGAAGTCCCTTATGTACTTTGGATTATTTCTTGCAGCTGGTGTTTTTTTCATCTTCATTGCATTCACTATGTTCCTCCCTGTCATGGTGCTGATGCCTCAGAAATTTGCTATCTGCTTCACAATTGGTTGTGCATTCATTATTGGCTCATTCTTTGCCCTCAAAGGTCCAAAGAATCAGCTTACACACATGACATCAAAAGAGGTACTTAGTCATCCTCAGTCTTGGTTTTGCCATCTTTTATGTCTAACTTGTTGGTTGTGGAAAACACACATTTCCCTTCTTTTGTGACAGCTCAATTTTCTGCAATCTCATTAGTCTTCCTTTCTTTTCCAGAGACTTCCTTTTACAGGGTTATTTGTTGGCAGCATGGTTGGGACGATTTACGTCTCTATGGTGCTTCACAGTTATATTCTTTCTGTGCTCTTCTCAGTTATACAGGTATTGGATTCTTGCCCCTTTTTCCTTTAATGATTTTGCCATAATAAATTCTTTTTAGCCTCTATAGATGGAAGATGAGATGAACACTTGAGCAAATGCTTTTAAGCTAGCTAGTCACTATTCCAGGAACCCCCCCCCCCCCCCCTAAAAAAAAAAAAAAAAAAAGAGAAAAAGAAAAAGAAACCCAGCAACAGAAAATAAGATTGTAGGACAAGTTTTTTATTTTTATTTTGAGGGGGACAAATATATACTACTATGAGTTCTCCAATAAATCGAGTCCTCAATATTACAAGATGTATTCCAAGCCATGATTTGTTTTGTCTGTAGTAGCCATTCTGCCGTTTGTTTTAATTGGGAAAGTGCATTCATGTTCGAAGCTACATTTTATAGCCACTTCACGGGTTCTAACTCTTTCAACTGGAAGTTAGTATAGTTTTTCCTTGGTTAGTGAGCTGTACTATCTGGTCTTTGATTTCCCAAATGTCTTCCATTCTGTATACTTGATGCTTGGGCAATATCATATCCGCAGTTGGCGTTTTACTTCTCACCACCTTGTCCGTTTGAAGTTTGCTATCTCTTAATCCTTAAGTACTTGTCCATATTGCATAAATCTTTAGCTTTCTATATAGTATCTTGTCATTAAAGAAAGAGTTTTGTCTACATGAATTGTAAACACGAAGTCTTAGCTTACATTGTTTGAATGACAGAAGTGATTATTCTATTTCGAAACAACCAACGTAGGAAGGGCTAAACAGAATCTGGGTAAAAAACATTGTGTATTGCCTAAATATAAGACTAAGCATGGACCTGCCAACTCACGCCCTGTACTGCAAGGAAGCCTTTTATCCTGGAGCTTCTTATCTGGAATAAATTTTGGAAGCCACGAGTCAATTTAGTGTAATATGTTTTATGTGTTGAAGTACTCGACACACTGACTGTTTGCAATTAACAATATTAATTGCAATTTTGTTCTATATTAGTTGGAAAATTAGAAGATTCTTTTTCTATCATACATTACAAGACACCAAATAACTTGGAATATATTCCTTTAAGATGTTGAGCAAACTTAAACCGACGGTCTGGCCTAGTGGTCAATGCAGTGGGAGGAGAACTATGAGGTCCAAGGTTCAAATCCTAGCGGAGGCCAAGAACACTAGGTGATTTCATGTGTTGTTGCCATGATAATAGTTTGGGTCCAACCCATCATGAGCAAAGTGAGAGATGTTGGATATTGGATTTGGGTATTGCGTCACTCCATGTGGGCTGACCGACCCGTTTGGGAAGAGATAGGATTTAAACTAACTTTTTAGGAGAAGTTACTACACGATTAAATATAGTGGCAAAAACTGCTTTTTTTTTTCTTCTCTTCAACAATGGACTTGTCATCTTCTCACGGATAGATAAAACACACAGAAAAGAACATTCCTTTTCTTGTTCCATATTAAAAAACAAATAGATTTAAATCGTGGTAATTTTTATTTTGTTTCCAAGAGATTTAAAGTGGACTTAATAGTGATTTTTACTCCGTTGCTCTAACAGGTACACAAGTTCATGTTTCTGTTACTGGATAGATCTTACAATGGTATCAGTCATGTGTTATCTGTTCTGTAGTCCTAAATTAATTCTCTGGAAACACATTGCCATTGAAACTGTTGATATTTATTGCTGTTGAAATGTTTTTAGCGTCTAAGCAAATTCTTTTTTTTTTTTTAAATTTGATAAGGTGAAGATTTTATTAAAAACAGTATCAAGCTGATACTGTAAAAATACAAGGATACTGCTGGCTTAAAAATATTAAAATCCTAAGCGGTCTAGCATGTCCAGCATATCATGAAAATTCATAACAACATTTCCATCTTTCCAATAGTACAAATAATGTAAACAACTGTATTTCACATATTGCAGTTGCTCCTTCTTGCCTTCAAAACACCTATTATTTCTTTCTTTCCATATCGTCCAAGCTATGCTAAGAGGAATATCTCTCCAAAACTTCTTTAAGGATGCTTCTGGACATGCAGGTTCCCAACACTCTAATGTATTCCTGAATTTCTTAGGACTTGCCCAAAGGATGCCAAAGTTAACCGTGAACATGGACCACACCTGCCAAGTAAATTCACAATGCAAAAAAAGATGGTCCACGGATTCACAAGCTTTCTCACACAAGTAACACCTGCTGCACATTATCCAACCCCTTCTCATCAAATTTTCTTGAGTCAGACATGCTTCATGTGCTACTAGCCAACCAAAACATGCTACTTTTGTTGGGACTGTAGTCTTCCAAACCATCTTCCAAGGCCACTTTTGTGCTTGCACCGGCTGGGTAGCATTTAGTATTTTGTAGAGTGAACTAACAGTAAAAAAACCTTTTTTACTAGCTTTCCAGAGTAGGCTGTCTTCTTTTTCTGGCGATAACACCACTGATTGCATCTTCTGAATAAATATATCAACCTCATGCATTTCTCTGTCGAAGAGATTCCTTCTGAACTGGAAGTCCCAACCTGTATCAGTAAATATATCAGCTAAGAGGATTTTTGGATTATTGGCCAATCTGTACAGGTTGGGAAATTGAATTTTCAGCAGACCAGAACCATCCCAATTATCTTCCCAAAGTCTGATTTTTTTCCCGTTGCCCACCCTCAAGCCAACATACATGTTAAATTTCTCCCATAGGTTACAAATCTGTCTCCAAACAGCTACCCCATATGGAGTTTTTACTGTTTTAGGTGCAAAGAAGCCCTCTTTTCCATATATCACCTCCACCACTGCTTTCCAGGGAGCTTTTTTCCCATCGTTTAACCTCCATAGCCATTTGCATAGCAAGCTTTGATTGTGAGCTCTAAGATTTCTAACTCCCAGACCCCCTTCTTTCTTATGTTTTGTCACAATGCTCCACTTTACTAAATGATATTTTCTCCTTTCTGTATCACCTTCCCACAAAAATTTCTTCCTAATTTTATCAATTTTCTTCTCCACACTAGCTGGTATAGGAATCAGAGACATTAGATAGGTTGGTATTCCATCAAGAACACTGTTTACTAATGTCAATCTGCCCCCAAGTGATAAGTATTGCTGCTTCCAAGGAGCCAACTTTTTTTCACACTTGTCAATTACACCATTCCACACTGATTTGTCCTTGAATTTTGCACCTAAAGGCAACCCCAAATAGGTAGTAGGAAACTTTTCAACCTTGCAACCCATGATATCAGCTAACATATTAATATCACTGTCAGCATTCAAAGAAAACATTGAACTCTTGGCCAGGTTTATTTTTAATCCCGTCACAGCTTCAAATGCCAACAGAACCACCCTCAAGTGCATCACTTGATTTCTATCAGCCTCACACATCAACAAGGTATCATCCGCATAAAGACTATGAGAAATTTCTATACTATTTCCTGAATGACCCTCCATTTTAAAGCCTTTTATCCATCCACTTCTCACAGCAGTTTTAATCATCTGACTCAACACCTCCATTACTAGAAGAAACAAGTAGGGAGACAGAGGGTCTCCTTGCCTTAAACCTCTTCGAGAACTAAAATAACCTACCGGACTACCATTGATTAGTATTGAGAACTTTGTAGTGGAGACACAAAAGTTTATCCATTGAATCCACTTACCCCCAAAATTCATCTTTTCTAGCAACTTCAGCAGACAAGGCCAATTGACATGATCATAGGCCTTTTCTAAGTCCAATTTGAACACCACACCAGGCAATTTTCTTTTCCAGTAGTAGTTTATACATTCATTTGCCAACAGTGATGCATCCGCAATTTGTCTACCTTTCAAAAAGGCATTCTGATTCTCAGAGACCAACTTGTCAATCACCAACTTCATTCTCTCAGTAAGGACTTTAGCTATCAAACTTGTATATACTCCCAAGCAAACTAATAGGTCTGAATTCCTTGATGTTGGCAGCCCCTTTCTTCTTTGGCATCAAAGCAATGAAGGTTGAGTTAAAACTTCTGACAAATTCTCCTTCTCTGTGAAACACCTCAAATGTCTTCAGAACATCTTCTTTCACAATATGCCAGCATCTTTTGAAGAAACACATATTAAAGCCATCTGGACCAGGAGCCTTATCCCCTTCTACCATTTTTACTACTCTTGTTACCTCTATTTCATCAAAAGGTCTCTCCAACCACTCTTTCTCTTGGTCACTGATGCTAGCAAGTTCTGAACAATTCCATGAAGGTCTCCAGCTCTTTTTCTGAAAAAATATCTTTATAGAACTCAAGTATGTGGTTTCTAATCAAATTTTTGTCATCTGTGAAGTCCCCATCTATTTCTAGCTTATCAATCCAATTATATCTCCTATTTGAATTTGCTATTTTGTGAAAAAATTTTGTGTTCTTATCCCCTTGCTTAATCCATAAAAATCTGGATTTTTGCCTCCAATGTATCTCTTCTACCTTAGCTATGTGATGCAACATCAGCCCATCCTGCATCAACGTCAATTTCTGGAATGATTATGGTTGACTTCTTTTTTCCTTTTTGTGACACTATTCTGATATATCTTCCATACACATTAAAATTTTGAAAGATACAGTACAAATACAACTGATCCTCAATCTTCCACTTTCTAACAATATTTCCTTTCCCAATTGAAGCAAGTTTAAGGTATTTGCAAACCTCCAGAAGATTGATCCTATCAACAGTTAATCTGTTAACAAAATTCCTCCTTCTCTCAATAATCTCGTACCAATTGTCTCCATTTCCCCTAATTTCAAAAGATTTACCTCCCACAAAAAAGAAAGCATTCCTTGCCATGAAGACTCAATCAGCTTTATAACAATCACCTTTCTCGTCGCCGTATAGCTAGGCTTAAGTTACTCAGTGATTGCAATAAGACCGAAAGAAGGGAAAGAAACTAATGGCAAGAGAAGAAGTAGAAAAGAAAGAAAGAATAATTGAAGTAAGGAGACCAGAAATAGCTTTAGAATCTCGCCAGAAAAGTTAATCGGATTGGAGAAGAGGAGAGAGAAATATAGTTAGCACATCTCCCAAGAGAGACCACACTAGGACACCTTATTAATTGACTGATTATCTTAGTCCATAGAGAGCTTGTAGTTGTACAATACCAATTTCAACTATTTCCTTTTCTTCAATTTAATCTTTATCCTTTCTATATATGAGAAGAAAAAAGATGGCAGAGAGAGAGAGAAGAGGTGACTAAATGACTGGCATCAAAAGCCAGTGGAGAAGATGAGGTAGCAGATAGGGGAAAAGAGTGAAAGAACAAGAGGCTTTGGGGGTCTTATATAAAAATAATTTAAGAAGTCTTGTTTTGGTAAGTAGCTCTGGCACTAGTCTTTAATCTCTTTTACTGTCGTATTAGAAGTTGTAGGAGGATTAAAAATTTATAAAATAAGAATATGACCCTTAAAAATTTAAATTGTTCTTCTACGAGCTAACATGATATATATTGTCACATAGAATGGTTATGAAAAACCGTTCTAAATGTTTCCTTGTTCTCTTTTTAGAAATGGTTGGAGGGGATGAGCTCGAAGTACTCCAAGTAATCGAGCTAGGGGACAATGTAGAAAAGTGCGTCCTCATAAGACTTATTTCTGTAATGATTCACATCAAGAGCCTGAAATCATCAGGAATGATATCTCGAGGGTGATGCAAAATTTCTTAAGAGATGAAAGGGCTAAGTGAAGGGAAGTTTCAAAACGGTCCCTAATGCTTCAATATCTACACATATTCAACTCTTTGAGTCAAAACAAGATGAATTGTCTCATTAGAAGTTGGTTTCGGACTGAGAAGCTTTAGCTATTTTAGTCTATTCTTTAAAGCTTCCCAATCCAAAATCAATTTATAATGGTATAATTCAGCTCGTTTTGATTCAAAAAAATTGAATATGTTCAAGTATTGAAGCATTAGGGGCCATTTGAACTCCTTAAACTTTGTTTTACTCTTCCTTCCGCTTAGCTATTTCATTCCTTAAGAAATTTTGCATCATCCTCGGGACATTATTCCTGGATTTGAATCATTACAAAAATAGGTCATACACGATGCACTCTTCAACGTTGTCCCCTAGCTCGACTTTGAGCACCACTCCTACTTAGAGTACTTCGATCTCGTCCCATCCTGCCATTTTTCAAAAGGGAATAAGAAAACAATTATAATGGTTTTTCAGGACCATTATATGTGACAATAACTTGTAAAAGAGTAATTTACATTTTTAAGGGTCATATTTTTATATTTATATACATTCGACCCTCCTAGGACCTCTAATGTATCAATAAAAGGAATAACTAGGATTTGGACTAAGTTCTTCACTAAAGAAGTAATGATTTGTATTAAGACTAATTTTCTAAATATTTAAAAATTTTGGTCTTAGCTCATTAAATTAAAAAAAATTATATTTTGTATGCAAAAAGTCTTATAGCTTCCAAAGACCTTCACGTCAAATCTCATCTGACATAATGATATCAAATAATTTTAACTAGAGCAAACGCAGTTATATATTATTATCGTTATCTTTTAAAAGGAAAAAACAGCTGAACACATGGCTTGATGAATAAACAGAAGCCACAAGTTTATAGTACAAAGCTAGCATGGGTTTTTTAATTGCCATAAAAACTTTTGACTTAAATACTCTGTTCCCACCTTCTCTCTTAGAAATTTCGAAATATTATAGTCCATTTCTACAGCTCTAAACTCCAAAAGTTAGATCTCTTCCAAAGCAAATCAAAGAGAAGAAGAAATTGGGTCATGGGTGAGAATGAAAAAAATAATTGAAGGTTCTTGTTCTTTTGGTTCTCACATAGGAAATAAAATTCTTAACAGAAAGAGATAACAATAGTGATATTTAGGCATATAAAAAATGGTATTTACAGTGTTCTAGTATCTCCACTCAACCGCGAGAATCATCCTCTTACAAGGATCATTTTAACGGGTGCGTATTCAATTTCATTTTACCAAAAAAACTAAGGTCTATTTTATTAGAATTTACTTGCATGCCAAATTTATTTAATAAAAATAAACATCAACAGTTTCAATGGCAGTGCTTGTCAAGAGAATCAATTTAACACTAGGAAACAGATAATACATGCTCGGGTACCAACGTAAGATTAATTCAGTAAGAGGAACAAGAATTTGTTACCTGTTAACTCAGAAAATTGCTTCTAATTTCACTTTGAATCTCTTGGACACAAAGTAAAAATTACAACGAACTAAATGTCTTTGTGTGTTACAACGAACTAAATTGCTACCACTCGATTTAATCGTGTAGTAACTTATCTCTTCCCAAATGGGTTGGGTCAGCCCATATGGAGCGACCCAATACCTGAATCCAATATCTAATATCTCCTACTGTATTCACCCGTAGATATTTAAGTATGACTCAGTCTAGGCGAGGTTCAAAAGCATAAGTTTTAGAACCATCTGAGCAGACAAAAGATGTTTTTCCTCATGACCGGAGATTTCCATTCCTCTGTAAGGAGTTGTAAGATTAGTCTCTTGGCAACAACCCACACCCTGTTATTCCTTTAGATGCAAAGAAAACAGGTGAAAAGAAAGAACAAAACTGATGGAAAGGAAATACTCCATCCGTTCCAATTTATGTGAACCTGTTTGACTTAGTATGGTTATAATTCTGTTGAAACTTGTGGTGTTAAACATGCCAAACTACTTGTGTGATTATAAAAGTTTCTCATTATTGGTAGAATTGGAAGTTTAAGTTAAATTGTTTCCAAATTTAGAATGGGGTCATTCTTTTTTGGAACGGACCAAAAAAGAAATAGGTTCACATAAACTGGAACAGAGGAGTACTAAAAGGTTCCAAACCAAAACACAGCCACCTCGCACAAAAAGGGTAATTGAATGGCCTTGGAGCCATTGCTTACAAGCGTTTAGCTTCTTCTAACTTTTTATCAAAAAGCTTTCTTCCAGACAATCCTTCTTCAAGAGTGCAAGAAAAGAAAATAAACACCAATACTTCACAGGGATCTCTAGAGTAAGAATATTCGACAGATTTGTTACAGAAATATTATGCTGCTTCTACTAGTTTCATTAATAATTGGGTCTTTTCAACAATGTTGTCACTTTCTCAGAGTTTAATGGTTGTTATTATCCATCCATGGTTATATCAGTTGTAATACATAACTAATATGCTGTATTTTTTTCTGTTCTTGGTAGGTCCTTGCTCTATCTTATTATGTTATCTCCTACTTCCCCGGAGGTTCAGCTGGAATGAGATTTCTTTCTTCAACCCTTACATCCACTATTTTCAGATGTTTTGGAAGGTGACAACATCCGCTGTCCTAACAATTTGCCCTTTTGAGAATAGTCCAAAGTTTGAGAAACTAACTGTATGCTCTTGATGAGTTGCTTGAATGATAAATGATGAGAAGGGAATCAAGAATTATTTTTGGTACATCTTTTTTCCTACGTTTGTGCACATTTGAACTAGATTGGTAGTTGGATTAGTTGTTTACATAGTTGAATGTTTATGATGTACTATAAGCCCAAAATCTAGACGTATTGCGTTTTGAAAGGAAGAATTAAAATTTGGTTCGCACCAAAGGATGTGGCTTAGTGTTTATGAAGTGGGTGAAAATCACGAGAGACCAAAGTTTAAAGTCCCAACAGACAAAAAATACTTAGTGATCTATTCTCATCTGTTTGGTGGATAGAGTTATCCGGTACCTCTGGTGATGGAACCTAGCAAGTAGCGCGGCAGATACATGATGGAATAATTGAGGTGCACACAAGCTGGCTAGGGCACTATTAGTATTAGAAGAATATCAATGATTTTGTTTTCCCGTGTTTTGGACAAAAGGCGGAAGCTTCATTTCTCAAGGAAATGTACAGACGTAACGAGGTTCCGGGGGAGCTTTAAAGGCACATTACATCCAGGAAATTGGAACTTAATATATTGTTTTTCCGTAGTAAACATACATTATAGGTGTTGGTTGATCTCAAAAAATTCGAGGTCTTTCACTGGCCAAGGAATACATGGACTTACAATGAGCAAAGGTGGATATAGTGCAGGTTCTATGAGTTCAATTGAATTTATTATTTTCTCGCGAGTTATATATATACATGTATGATTTTTTTTTTAAAATATAACATATAATTAGATCATTCCCAGTTTATTATGGGGTCCGCGCAACAAGAACAAGAGCGCTTCCTCTTTCTTTTTCTTTGCCACCATGATACTGGAAATCAATACTTTCGCACGTTCTTGTCATTGTGAAAAATTGGTACTTTCCTATAGTTGATCATGGCTGCTTGATCTTTCAAAATGTTCAGGTCTTGAAATCTGGCTAGGAGCAACTACTGAATCTAATGATGGCAGTGTGATAATACCAGCCGAAAGAGAGAAAGCGTAAGACTTTGGTAAGGCAATTGTTGCAGAGATCCAAGTGGCATACCAAAAAGACTTATCAAAATCGCCACCATACGAGACTTGCAAGGCATGCCCGCCAGAAAGTGAAGAGAGGTTTATAAGCACCCCGACTTAGAATCATGACCCACCGAAGAAAAGAAAAAAGTATACCGCGATGCACCTCTCTTTGGTTAAGCTTTTGAAGATGCCTAAATTCACTTTCGCCGCATCGAGGTCTTTCATTCCGCGACTATCCAATCTTCTTCTTGAGTCTTTTAGAGGGTTTTCGGATAGTTCGGTACCGGCTATAGCAAAGGAAGCATATGCCTGTAACCTAGTTCATTCCCTATAATAATAGGTACGCCGATACTCCTTTTTTGATCAATTAAGGTAGGCTCGTGCCCGAATTCACTCAAACCTACTGAGTCTAGATCTTAAATTCAACTCTGACATTGTGAATAATCTATTCAATAGTCCCACCAATTTACCGTTTCAAATGTTTTGCCTATTCCCCTCTTCTTGCATCTCTATTTTGTCTATTCACCCTAATTAACATGTTGATGTCTGTAGTCAACCACAAAACCAACCTGGATAGCTTCTAGATTGGCTTGAAAATATCATATACCTAATTTAGTGCAGAATGGTACGGCAAGCAAGTTTTTCATGCCATGTTCATCTTGACAATATAATATCATGCACCTAATTATTTGGTTTCAAAATTGTACAGAAAAACATGAAAGGAATTGTACAAAGGCAATGTTAACATCTAGAAAATCCCTTGATCAAATCTATGGCATCATTCATCACCCTTACTTTTACTTAGTTTATCTTCACATGCGGATCCGGGATTTGAACTTTATGAGTTCAATGTCTAATGTTCTTAGAATTGAACTTATTATACTTTATAATTATGGGTTCGGACCTACTATTTTTTGCAATCTTAATAAATTTTACGAATAAATTTATATCCCGTATAAAAAATACTGAATTCAGATGAACCCGCTGCTTCGAGTCTACGTCCGCCTCTGTCTATCTTGACTTGTTCAAATTTCAACCAGTACTGATTTTGCCACCCCTAAGTAGGTTAGATTAGGATCGGGGCTAAAAAAGAAATTGACACATGAAAGAGGTCATTGATTAGGAAAACGTCGGGTAAGTCAATATGTTCCTATCTGTTAGGCAATTGTAGTAGTACAAAATAGTCTTGTTGTTTTCGTAGTTACAGTACATGAAATAGAGAGGTTATGGGCTAGGCCTAACAGTTTGGCAAGGCACCCTTAATGTTACACAATAACTCAGAAGTATTTTTGCGAGTTTGATTGATTTCTAATTATAGAGAGGCCTTCCGCATTTGGTAATATTCTATCATTTCGTACTTTTGAAAGAGAGTTTTGGAGCAACGGTAAAGTTGTTTTCGTGTAACCTATAGGTCACATGTTCGAGCCGTGGACTCAGCCATTGATACTTGCAATAGGATAAGGTGCATACATCATACCCCCTTGGTGCAGCCCTTCCTTGGGCCTTGCGTGAACACGGAATGCTTTGTGCACCGGGCTGCCATTTCTTATCATTCCTTCTCCGTCGCCTAGTTCAACTGATTAGGCAATTTCGTCGAACTGATCGAAATGCTGAACTTTCTTACTTATGTGATAAAGAGCTTATTTAGTATATGAAATCGAGTTGGCATAAAGTATTGAAAGTTAGTTGCCATTGTATCATCCCCGTTTTGATGACAAACTATACATGAGGAGGTTTCTATTGATATGATCTTGTATTCAGAAGTATTGGCTAATATACAGAGTCTTTTTATTTTTTTAAATCAGTAGGTAATAGTTAATCTTTTGATTGCCCAACTGAATTGTGATAGCCCTAAAAACAAGTATGAAGGCTCAATGCTAGTCTCTTTCCACTTACAACTATTTAGTAGAAGCCTAGTAATGTAAGGGTTAGTGTGCACATTACCTTACATGTAACATCGTGAGAAAAAGAGATGTCATATGAACAACTCTTAATTAGAATGACGAGTGAAGATTTGAAGAACAATAGAAATATTAAAATGGTCAATGTTTAATCATTTTCATACCTACACCAATCAAAAACCAAATACAGTAACTTACGTAAAATTTAATATGGAAGGATAAAGTCCCGCTATTTCTTCTAATTTGACGATTTTTAAGCATAGTTTTGGTTTTGATAGAAACAACACCTTCCTGATAACTTCTGAAACAATTAAAATATTAGGCAAGCAATCTTTTACCTTTTAATAAATAAAAAAAAAATACTAGCAAGAAACTTCTGTCAAAGCCCGACTTCCGCAAAAGTCACGATAACCTAGCAAAATAAACAAATGTCAAAATAATTTTTCTAATAAACTCTTATTCAACTATATCATCCTAAAACAATAAGTTCTTGGGATTGTATTTTCTACATAAACTCTTATCCATCGGCATAAATTTTAGATTTTAATATATAAATTGCCAATATGTTCGAGTTTCTTTTAAGATAATACTAGATAAAATTAGTAATGGCTCAAGTGTCAGGCCAGCCTTTAGGCCCCAAGAATTAAAGGCCCCTATAATATTATTTATAATTATTATATATAACTAATAAATACATACTATAAGATAAAAGTTAAACTATATGACGAGTTAGTATTTTGATATTCAAGTTACCCATTTGTGTTAATTTACTACCTTGCTTCTTGTTGGTAAAAACCTTATTGATATATACAAAAAAAATTTGAGTAGTTTAAATCAAAGTTTTAAAATGTTAGACATAATTCTTGGATTGACAACTTGAAATATTAAAATAATAACGTAAAAATTTGGGAAGATTTATTACATTCCTAATGTCATGCCAATACAGTAAAATAATAATTTTCTTAACTAATTGAAAAGGTCAAATAATGAACGCAAAAAAAGTAAAGTTTCTTAATTGTGACTTTTTTAACAAAAATGGTAAGATTCTTGTGGTAAATAATTTTGTATTATCAAAAGGTCTAATAGTGGAGACGAAAAAAATAATAAAATTTTAATTATTAATTGTAATCGCAATTTATCCAACAGATAATACACTCATGAAGGATAGAAAATTCACTCAACATTTTATGTTGAGATCACAATAATTTCAGTAGTTGGCAAAGTCAATTTTACTTCTAAAGGCTTTCTGGATAATGCAGGATTATGTGAAGGGCAGTAGCGGAGGCAGAATTTCCGCTAAGGGGGTTCAAAAAAGAAAAAAAGTTAAAAAAATAACAGAAATTGCGGCCAAGAAAAAAAGGTTTTGAACCTCCTTGACCACTAAACTATGCTTTTAGGTAGTGTCAATGGGATTCAAAACATAATATATAGGAGTAAACAACAGATTTAACTTTATATATATAGTATAATTTTTTGGCAAAGGGGATTCGGGTGAACCCCCTTCCGCCCCCTAAATCCGCCTCCGGTGAAGGGCTATGTCAAAGAATACATCCCACTACTGCCATCCCCTCCTATTTCTATCCTATCTTACGTTATTGTTGGACTGATTATCATAATTCAACTTGCATAAATGTTTTTTAAAAGCAACAAGGAGAAAAAGAGCATCAACGCTCTAACTAGGGGCCGGAGGTAGAGTATTGCATGAGCTTCAGTAGCTTTTATTCAGACCTTGTATTTGTATTATGAAATTTACTAAAAATGTGATAAATATTTTATTGTGAACCCATTAATTAAGACGTGCTATTCGATCGCAAGTTCAGAACCTATTAATTTCGAACTCTGGCTATGCCTCTAGCTTTAAGAAACAATATCAACAGAAAATATTCAAAACACACCCTCGCGGAAGGTTTTATGTGTTTTTACGAACCAATTCTTGAAATTTTATGCCAAGGTTTAGTATTTTTCTTGGCAGATTCTTTTAATTATTTCCTATTTACAGGACTGAGGTAGGTGAAAAATGGACAGTTAAGACAAAAAAAATAGAGAGAAAATTTTCCAGCATAGAGTAAGAGAGTGATAATTAATGGCTATGAAATTTCATAACACAATAATTTCAAGCATGTTATCATCAAACTAAAACATTAACACTACAATTTTTCAGACATGTCTTAGCTAGAAACTCAAGACATGCACATATCCTAGGATTAATATTAGGAGCTGTCTTGCCACAAGACATCATATCCTATTTCTTCCAATGGAACTGCACTACAAAAATGAGAAAAATCAAAGGCAAATTCTCCCACATCAAAAATCTCATTTACTCCCTCTGGGCAAGCAGTTGTATCTGTATGTGACAACTCCATCATTTCTAGCCACTCGAAATCATCGATAAGCTCCCCCTCCTCGATATTCGTGACATTCGGGGTCATTTCAATCACCATTGGTTGTATTACACAATCTACTATGTCTTCTTGGATATCATAATTTGGTTCTTCTTCTTCTTCTTCTTCTTCAAGTAGTTCTCTTAGTGTGTTTTCATCAAATTGTGTCACTAATTCCAAGTCTTCAAATTCATCTATGTTTGTCAGAGCTTGTGAGCTAGTAGGAATTTAGTGCAGAATGGTACGGCAAGCAAGTTTTTCATGCCATGTTCATCTTGACAATATAATATCATGCACCTAATTATTTGCTTTAAAAATTGTGCAGAAAAACATGTAAGGAATTGTACAGAGGCAATGTTAACATCTAGAAAATCCCTTGATCAAATCTATGGCATCATTATCACCCTTACTTTTACTTAGTTTATCTTTACATGCGGATCCAGGATTTGAACTTTATGAGTTCAATGTCTAATGTTCTTAGAATTGAACTTACTATACTTTATAATTATGGGTTCGGATCTACTATTTTTTGCAATCTTAATAAATTTTACGAATAAATTTATATCCCATATAAAAAATATTGAATTCAGATGAACCCGCTGCTCCGAATCTACATCCGCCTCTGTCTATCTTGACCTGTTCAATTTTCAACCAGTACTGGTTTTGCCACCCCTAAGTAGGTTAGATTAGGTTTGGGGCTAAAAAAGAAATTGCCACATGAAAGCGGTCATTGATTAGGAAAATGTCGGGTAAGTCAATATGTTCCTATCTGTTAGGCAATTGTAGTGGTACAAAATAGTCTTGTTGTTTTCGTAGTTACATTACATGAAATGCAGAGGTTATGGGCTTGGCCTAATAGTTTGGCAAGACACCCTTAATGTTACACAATGACTCAGAAGTATTTTTGCGAGTTTGATTGATTTCTAATTATAGAGAGGCCTTCCACATCTGGTAATATTTTATCATTTTTTACTTTTGAAAGAAAGTTTTGGAGCAACGGTAAAGGTGTTTTCGTGTAACCAAAATGTCATATGTTCGAGTCGTGGAATTAGCCATTGTTACTTGCAATAGGATAAGGTGCCTACATCATACCCCCTGGGTGCAACCTTTCCTCGGGCCTCGCGTGAACACGGGATGCTTTGTGCACCGGCTGCCATTTTTTATCATTCCTTCTCCATCACCTAGTTCAACTAATTAGGCAATTTCGTTGAACTGATCAAAATGCTGAACTTTCTTACTTATGTGATAAAGAGCTTATTTAGTATATGAAATCGAGTTGGCAGAAAGTATTGAAAGTTAGTTGCCATCGTATCATCCCGTTTTGATGACAAACTATACATGAGGAGCTTTCTGCTGATATGATCTTGTTTTCAGGATTATTGGCTAATATACAGAGTCTTTTAAAAAAAAAAAAAGAAATCAGTAGGTAATGGTTAATTTTTTGGTTGCCCAACTGAAGCAAAAGTACTTGCGATAGCCTAAAAACAAGGATGAAGGCTCAAAGCTAGTCTCTTTCCACTTACAACTATTTAGCAGAAGACTAGTAGAAGCCTAGTAATGTAAGGGTCAGTGTGCCATTACCTTACATGTAACAACGTGAGAAAAAGAGATGTCATATGAACGACAATGGGAACTCTTAATTAGAATGACGAATGAAGAATTGAAGAACAAAGGAAACATTAAAATGGTTAATGTTTAATCATTTTCATACCTACACCAATCAAAAACCAAATACAGTAACTTACGTAAAATTTAATATGGAAAGATAAAGTCCCGCTACTTCTTCTAATTTGACGATTTTTAAGCATATTTTTGGTTTTGATAGAAACAACACCTTCCTGATAACTTCTTGAAATTCTGAAACAATTAAAATACTAGGCAAGCAACCTTTTACCTTTTAATGAAAAAAAAGAAAAAAAAAAATACTAGCAAGAAACTTTTGCCAAAGCCTGACTTCCGCAAAAGTCACGATAACCTAGTAAAATAAACAAATGTCAAAGTAATTTTCCTAATAAACTCTTATTCAACTATAGCATCCTAAAACAATAAGTTCTTGGGATTGTATTTTTTACATAAACTCTTATCTGTCGACATAAATTTTAGATTTTAATATACAAAATGGCAATATGTTCGAGTTTTTTTAAGATGATATTAGATAAAATTATTGATGGCTCAAGTGCGAGGCCAGCCTTTAGGCCCCAAGAATTAAAGGCCCCTATAATATTATTTTAATTATTATATATAACTAATAAATACATACTATAAGATAAAAGTTAAACTATATGACGGGCTAGTGTTTTGATATTCAAGTTACCCATTTGTGTTAATTTGCTACCTTGGTTCTTGTTGGTAAAAACCTTACTGATATATACAAAAAAATTTGAGTAGTTTAAATCAAAGTGTTAAAATGTTAGACATAATTCTTGGATTGACAACTTGAAATATTAAAATAATAACGTACAAATTTGGGAAGATTTATTACATTCCTAATGTCATGCCAATACAGTAAAATAATAATTTTCTTAATTAATTGAAAAGGTCAAATAATGAACGCAAAAAAAAAGGTGAAGGTCTTTAATTGTGACTTTTTGACAAAAATGGTAAGATTCTTGTGGTAAATAATTTTGTATTAAATTAAAAGGTCTAATAGTGAAGACATTTTTTTTTAATTATTAATTGTAATTGCAATTTATCCAAGAGATAATACACTCATGAAGGATAGAAAATTCAGTCAACATTTTATGTTGAGATTACAATAATTTCAGTAGTTGCCAAAGTCACTACTGCCATCCCCTCCTATTTCTATCCTATCTTTTTTTTTTTTTTTCAATTTTTTTCAACAAGGAGAAAAAGAGGGGGCGGAGGTAGTCAGCACCTTTTATTTAGACCTTGTATTTGTATTATAAAATTTACTAAATACGCGATTAATATTTTATTGTGAATCCTTAATTAAGACGTGCTATGAGTTCGATCGCAAGTTCAGAACCTATTAATTTCAAACTCTTAAGAAACAGTATCAACAGAAAATATTCAAAACACACCCTCGCGGAAGGTTTTATGTGTTTTTACGAACCAATTCTTGAAATTTTATGCCAAGGTTTAGTATTTTTCTTGGCAGATTCTTTAATTATTTCCTATTTACAGGACTGAGGTAGGTGAAAGATGGACAGTTAAGACAAAAAAAATAGAGAGAAAATTTTCCAGCATAGAGTAAGAGAGTGATAATTAATGGCTATGAAATTTCATAACACAATAATTTCAAGCATGTTATCATCAAATTAAAACATTAACACTACAATGTTTCAGACATGTCTTAGCTAGAAACTCAAGACATGAACATATCCTAGGATTAATACTAGGAACTGTCTTGCCACAAGACATCATACCCTATTTCTTCCAATGGAACTGCACTACAAAAATGAGAAAAATCAAAGGCAAATTCTCCCACATCAAAAATCTCATTTACTCCCTCTGGGCAAGCAGTTGTATCTGTATGTGACAACTCCATCATTTCTAGCCACTCGAAATCATCGATAAGCTCCCCCTCCTCGATATTCGTGTCATTTGGGGCCATTTCAATCACCATTGGTTGTATTACACAATCTACTATGTCTTCTTGGATATCATAATTTGGTTCTTCTTCAAGTAGTTCTCTTAGTGTGTTTTCATCAAATTGTGTCACTAATTCTAAGTCTTCAAATTCATCTATGCTTGTCAAAGCTTGTGAGCTAATAGGAATTTCTAAATCCATCTCAAGAAAAAAGATGTAAAAATAGAAGCAAAGGCAAAAGGAAGAAGTGGAAAAGGCTATCTATTTGGATTGCATATAGTTAGAAGATAACTTTATGAGAAAAAAGCTTAAGAAGCAAATGTCTTAAATAGGCACCATAAAATTCCAAGTCTCAAGGATATGTCTATCATATTTTCTTGATTTCTTGTAAAAGGTCATATACACTCAAACCTCTTTTATAACAGCCTCGTTTGTTCCGATATTTTTTGATTGTTATAGTAAAGTACAGTCATAAAAATATATATATATCATAATATAACATGAAAAATTGTTTCCAATAAAAATTAGATCATTATAATAAAGTATTGCTATAAAGAATAATTATTATAGAAATGTCTGATTGTATCTAATATTTGCCGGAAAAAATAGTAGTACAAAGAAGTATTTCGAGAATATTGAATCCTGTTAAGTGTTAACATCAAATCAAATTTAGAAGGAATGAGAAGTTTCTGCATAATTATTTTTGTGTGGAAAATTAAATGGCATAATAAATATTTTTTTGCCATTTTTTCTTGGGAAATTACCAGCTATATCCATTTATAGGTAGCTTATTATAAAAATTGGCCAATTGATAAAATATTACTAATATTAGCCAAATTAGCCAATTAGCTATATGTAGCAAAAAAATATCAAATTTTTGCTTTGTTTTGAGTGGGTGTTATTAGAATAGATTGGGCACAACTTAAGGAGCTTGAATATCAGTTTTGGGATGATTTGGTGAAGTTTTGAGGTGGTTTGAATTGAAAATTCGATAAAAACTGAACATGAAAAAAATGATATGTGTATCACACTGTGTATCATTTGTGTATCACAATGTATCATATTTGTGTCTATTGTGTATCACATGTATATCCATGTATACCTGTGTGTGAGATACATGCGTGATACATGTTTGATACATGTGTCGCAGAGGACTTTTTTGAACTCGATTTAATTACGAATTTTGATACAAAACCAGTCCAAATCAACTCCAATCTTCCTCAAATTTTGTATATTGACTTATCTATATATTTTCAATGAATTTCAACTATACCCATTGAAAAAGTTCCTTTTTTTGTTTAGATTTTTGGAATATTGAATATATTTTTTGTAGTTCATCACCTTATTTGCTACCTCATCCATTAAATTTCCTTTCCGTCTATCTAGTGTTGCTGATCACGCTTAAAATATAGAAGGTGATTTTTGCATGTGATTCATTGAGAGAAAGAACCCTATTATTTGGTTTTTCAATTTTTATTGGCTAGTTTTGGTAAGTCTATAATTAATGGCTAGAAGTTGGTAAATTGAGATTTATTTGGGACATTTGTGTAAGTTTCCCTTTTTTCTTTGTCAGCAAAAGTGATGTGCTTTTTGCACAAGTGGGCTATGCTTATCCCTTTTTTGGATAAATTATGAAAGCGATATGTTTGGTATATAATAATCCTAGTTGCGTTTGAGGATAGGACAAGTTGGTTAACACCACCTACAGCTCAGCAAAGCTCATATCTTTTTAATATTTATTTTATTATATGGGGGAGGTTTGAGCCGAGGGTCTTTCGGAAACAGCCTCTCTATCGTCATAAGATAGGGGTAAAGTCTGTGTACACTTTACCCTCCCTAAACCCCACTTGTAATTGTGGGATTTTACTGTGTATGTTATTATTGTTGGCGGGGGGGGGGGGGGGTAGGGG